TCATTTTAGTTTTTAAAATACGCATTTTTGACGCTATTTCTTTAATGTCGTTTGTTCTCCTCAGTAAAAAAGTGAATATAATATAACGGTCATTTTTGTTTTGCGAATGTTTCCTTTTAAAGTCGTAATTACAAATACTGTATTTTTTATTTTGTATGAAGTAAAATTATATCAAAAAATTTTATTTTACAATTTCTTTTAAAAACTTGCGTTTCACCTGTATCATTTTCTCTGTGTACCTTCTTTTTTTACCTCCCTTTTATTTGCTCGGGATGTAACTATGTAATATTGATGCTCCTAAAAGATGCAGCGATTTCCATTCTCAAGTTACATACCTGATGACAGTACGAATGGAAACTATAATAGCGAGGTTTTAGTTTTTTTAAACTATAATTTTATTGTATCATGGTACACATCTCTTCAAATATTTCCCGTCGGCGGTTTATTCTTCTCTGTGTGGAATTTGCGAACTGCGAAAAAATTTAACATTGCCACGGTTTTCGCCATTATTTGACTATTTCTATTGAAAATACATAGCATATTTAAATTCCAAGGTTGTAGAGAATTTCGTTCTCCACAACTTTTGTACCTACATTTTTTTTGCACGACGCTGAGATCACGGCCGGGAACGCGATAAACATAGCGATGTACGGGATGCGCCGTAAAACTCACTTCAACACCTTCACTTTGCTTCCATTAAAAAAAAAACGTTGCCCGTGGATTAGGCCTACTGAGGAAACCACGTTAAGAAAACGCGCCGAAAAACTCTACGTCAGCGGTGGTGCGGAAATTAGTTTTACGGCGCATCCCGTACATCGCTATGTTTATCGAGTTCCCGACCGTGATCTAAGCATCGTGCAAAATAAATTTAGGCACAATAGCTGTGAAGAATAAAATTCTCTACAACTTTGGAATTTCAATGTGCTATATATTTTCAACAGAAATTGTCAAAAATGGCGAAAACCGTGACAATGTAAAATTTTTCGCAGTTTTTGCCAATTTTTTACAATAAGAAATGCTATTTTTGAAAAACCTTCTATAAACTACATGTGGGAAATTAAATTCTCTACATATTTATTTTTAATGATTTTTTACGAAAAATGCATAATAAGCTTTCTAATCGCAAAAAAAAAAACAAAAAACACTTAAAGCCAAGATGGCGGAATGTTGCCAAATGAGATTTAGGGGCAAGACTGTGGATCCATGATCTACGTATCAAATAGAAGTAAAGGTGCTCTTACACGATATGTATTTGCATGTGTACATGCCACTTTTTACATATGGAAATGCCAACAAATCGTGTAAAGGCAAATTAGATTTGTTTCTGTACAAAGCAGATGCACGTACATACGAAATAGAAATATTTCTATTTTCCTCTGACAAACAGATATAATCATCTGAGTTTAGTTTATTTCGTTTTCAAAGAACGTATTTTTAAATAGTTAAATAAAGACTGTGAATTTGACAGACATACGCAATTACACATGTTTTGAAAATGTCACATTTACAGATGCAAATACATATCGTCTAAGAACGCATTAAACTGACTGCATCAAAAAATGTATCTTATTTTACTGGGCTACTCTATTACTCTTATTTGGCTTTGCTTTTTGCTTTCGCTCAATTAAATTTTGATATGTTGGTGTTGGTTGAAATTTTTATAATTTTTCGAAACAAAAAAAAAACGTTTAAGATAAAGTGAGCCATAAAATTTGGAATTTATTTGCTAAGAAAATATTTATTTTTCGGCTTTTACAAATTAAACAAGTTCTCTGCGAGAAGATTTGATTAAAAAAATATGCGTATATATGGTACATGGCGCATACTCCAATTTGCCTTATTTGAAAAATATCATTGTTGACCGCAATAAAAGCTTTACTTTAAGGGAAAAAGGATATTTCTATACACCATATCGAGCCCTAACCGCCAAAATAACGTAAGCCACATTTTTGTCAACATTGATGCAGAAATGCATCTAGATGCTCTAGGAATATTTCTGCATCAAAAAGAAAATTTTTAAAAAAGTGTCGCTTACGTTATTTTGGCGGTTAGGACTCGATATACTATATAAATATGTCCACGTATTTTTTTAAACAAACCTTGCAGACATATATTTAATACTTCTATAGTGGCAGTAACCTAGCTGCGCAATGTGTTTGGATTCAGCAATCAAAGGGAGATAGTTTTGAGCCAAATGTACGTTTTGCGCATGCGCAGGTTTTCAATGTATTAGTATCTGTGAATCCCAACGGGACTGAAAGTTAGCTGCTCCCCAAAGGAGCAAGTACGGAGCAGTATAAAAGCAAAGTAAAAAATAAATTTTTAAATTTCTAACAATGCTCAGAAATAAATATCATTTTGAGTAGTAACATAAAATATTTCCTTTTGAAAAAAAGTTAATTTATGTACAAACATGTATGTATGTATGTATTTCCGTATGTATCATATATGTAATACTTCTATATTGGCAGTAAGCTAACTTCTCAATGTGTAAGCATTCCGAAATCAAAGCGAGACAGTCTAGTACCGTTTTTGTCTATGTATTGTGTACTTGAGTGCCGTTTTTGTATATGTGTTGTGTACTTGTTTATTTATAAACGTATGTGCCCAGTAGAACTTGTGAGCATCGTACGATTGCTCGGTGAGTACTCCCTTGGGAGTATACGAATACTCCCCATTGCTCCCTATGCTTCTGTGTATAAGCATTTAATTTTGTATACTCCCTTTAACATTGGATGTCCTAGGAGGGGGAGTAATCCCTTTTACCTCCTAAACGAGCAATCGGGGCAAGAATGATAGATGTCTCCCTACATCGTGCAATCGGGGAGCACACACAGAATTATCATCCCACAAACCTCCTAATGGAGCAATACGAGAGTACTCCCTTAGTTACCTCCCAGAAACCTCCCAAAAAGACAACAAGGGAGTGCACATAGAAAACATCCCACATTCCTCCCTAACGAGTAGTAAGGGAGTACTCCCATAAGAGTCATCCCGGAAGGCTCCTGTACTAGTAATAAAAGAACGCCTCTATACTCCCGAATTCCTCCTCATGGAGTAATGGAAGACTACTCCCACATTGCTCCAAAACGAGCATTTTACATAAGCTAAAAAGATTTTGCTTTTTACGCAATTCATTTATTTAATTTTTTAATCATATACATATATACATACTTATGCACATAAATACAAGATTTAAGCTGATTATTACAAAAACAGAAAAAAACATAAATAAGTATTATTACATTATTAACTAAAATTAGAAAACGGATATCGAACAGTAATGACAAACTCAAACATTATACATACATACATATATACTTTTATATAATCCACAAGATAAGTGTGGCGAGGATGATTTCCTGGAAAAGTTATTTAACTTGTATTCACCCGGGAGTGGAACAAACGATTCACGCCTTGAAAAATTTCCGGCTGTACCCAGTAAATTTTCTGGGCGGGACGAGATTGCAACGCTAGAACTTAGACGCCTTAATTGCTGGCCCCGTAATCTGAAATATATTTTGAGTTAAATATTACATACATACCAGCGGCTCTAAAGATTTGCTCTCCAATTAATTTGATTGTTTCCTGATTTAAATTTTTCAATAAGAAATACATATGTATGTAAGTATGAATGTACACATCAGTTATCTGTTTTGCTTTCTTCATACATTTTCCAAAAACACAAAATTATGTTGAAGAAGGTGCGTATAGCTATCCTATCAATCAAAAAGAATACTCCTGGATTGCTCGCTTAGGAGACATCGATTTTTGCTCCTAAGCGAGTAATAACGGAGTACAAAACTAACAAATCTCGCATATACCTCCGAAATCATGTATCCCGGAGGATACTTTTATTGCTCACTTGGGAGATCTCCCATTATACTCCTAAGTGAGTAATACAGGAGTGCAAAACCGACTAATCTCGCTTATTGCTCCCAAATCATGCCTCAGGGAGCATTCTTTAATTGCTAGCTTAGGAGATGTCCCTATTGACTCCTAAACGAGTAATAAGGGAGTAAAAAGTCCACAAATCTCTCTTATTGATCCGAAATCAGGTCAAGGGGAGTACTCTTTTATTCCTCACTTAGGGAGATCTCCATTCAAGTTCTAGTGGGTGTTGCTTTCCTTTCGTACGTGTTTATTGATATATGTATCTGTGCTGTAGTGTTTTCGGACGGTACTAGCTCTTACTGCCAATATAGGAGTATTACATATATGGTATGTATACCACATAGAAAAGAAAAAAAACATGTTTATAAGTACACTTAATAAAACCATCAAATGGTTTACAAAAACGCCATTCTTTTATTAAAACAATAATCTAATATAAAAATTAAAATTTGCATGCATCGCTTTTTAAATGCTTTAGTTGAAGCGCTCACCAAGAGCTTCTTTGGGAGCAGCAAGGGAGCACTTCTTTCTAATGACACACAATGATAAAATACAATGAAGTATGAAATTAGGAAGGGAGCGCTTACTGCAGAATATGGATCGCTTCCATGATTCAATAAAAGAAAGGTTTTGTAATAAAACAGTCTTCTCCCTCCCACACAAAAAATCGGCTCCTTTACTAGTCCAGAATGTTGCTCTATAGTTTTTAGTCATATTGGTAGTAAAACCTAAAGTTCTTCACACTAAATATTCGTTGGCATCACTGACTCGTTTTTGTCATCTCCTTTACATTAATTCGTTGACATTTGCCATTCTGATTGCGTTAATTCTGGTAAGTTTTGCAATAAATTGCTATTATTTTTTAATTTACTAATCTATTTAAAGTATTTATTTACAGAATATCATTTCGTAGCTACCACGGCGAGTTTCTATAGGTTTTTTTGGTTTTTGCCTGTCCAAGTGCTGCGCGGCTACATTTGCATTCCAAACGCAAACGCACACGTAAGTTTATTTTAAAAAATAGCTATTATTCTGAAAAATTATTATAAGTGAACCATTTCGCTTACAGATTCCTATTCGCTTTTGGTGTTTGCTTGTCCAAGTGCGGCACGACGAAAAACATTTGCGTTCCAAACGCGCACACACACGTAAGCTTCATTTATTTATTTACTTATAAAATAGAGATTATTCTGCAAGATTCTTATAAGCGAACCTTTTCGCTTACAGGTTCCTATTCGCTTTTGGTTTTGCCTGTCCAAGTGCTGCAGCACCCTTTCTTAAGTGTACTTCAGTGTATAAAAAACAACTTTTTTAATCGGAAGTCCATTTTTTTCAAGTAAGTTTTTTTTCCTTGTAAAAAATTGTATAAAGCTTTCAAAACATAAAACTTGTAATTAATTAAATACATACATATATGTTTGTATGAATTGGTATATTGTCGTTTAAAGTACAAAACCGCGTATCGTCATTCTGCAAAACCGCGTAACTGACATTGGCTGCCAAAAATTGTATTTGCTCACACAAGCTCTTGGCTCAATCCTTATCCTTATCCATTAGTTCTGAAATATACTAGCCAGAAATGCGAAATGCTTTATAAAAAAGAGAACCATTTTGAAATATGAGTGTTTTTACGCTATAGAAAATAATTTCTACAACTTCACATACGCGGTTTTGCATTTTGTCGATACGCGGTTTTGCACTTTAAACGACGATATGCTTATAATTAATTTATTGATTTTATATATATTTACAGATATCTTCTTTAACGAATTCTTATGCAAAAATTAATGTGATTTTTTGTTCAAAAAGCAATAAAAGTGGTTTTTCTCGATAGAGTTTCCACTATAACCAAGTTGTTTTTTTTATTTTATTTATTGTTTTGGTACAGGTTTGACAAAAAACTGGTCAGCTTGGTAAAATCTCAAACTACTTATATTTAAATTAATTTACATAAACAACATAAAATCTTAAAAATTTTAAAACTAGGAATCAGTAAAATCCAAATAATTATTTTTTTATCTTATATACAGGTCCCAGTTTTAGCACTGATAACAAACACAATATAGCAAAACCCGCTTAAGTACCTCACGAAAAATGTCTGCTTTTTAAGGTACTTAGGTGGGTTGGGTACTTAAAAGAAGCCGCTTAAGTTCCTCGATGCGAGTACTTAAGCGGACATAATTACTGATGTAGTTACATCTTCTTGTTAACTTACATAAATACTTGAATAACAACATTTAATGAAGTATACATAGTTTAAAACCAAAATCGTAGCATTATGTATATACATAAACATGTAAAGAAAACCTTTATTAAAAAAAATATTTAGTGCAATGGTATATCATTTTTACAAGAATTGAATTGTTTAAAAAGTCAAAGTTGGACATATCATTTTGTACCAAATTCACAATAATATTGTTTGCCACTTATGTATATTTATTCATTTTTAAGGTTTTTCAATCAATTAAAATGCAGTTCATTCCCTAACAAATACCATATAAACCTAAGCTTAAGATTTTGTAGACACTTAAAAGAAATCATCATAATTTCAAACTTTTTTCTCAGAAGTGTTTTTTGAGTATACAGTTTTTTAGCCCATTCAATTTTAGTGTAATAATGTGCAACTTTCAAGTGGCTAAAAGTTACCGTTGATTTTTTAAAATTTTTTTACCGAAGGTATGTGGCGCTGCTACTGAATTTCAAAATACATAAATATTTCAAGGAATTTTAAGACCCCTAAAAAGGCGAAAATTATAGGTAAAATTGTAAATGGGGCATTGCAAATTGAGGTACTAAGGCGGGTTGGGTACATAAGCTTACTACTTAAGAGAGGGATTTTCTTCAGAATACATTAAAAAATTCATGGTGTCCAAAATTGTTGGTTACTTAAGCGGGTTAGGCACTTAAGCGGGGGGTACTTAAGCGGGTTTCACTGTAGTTTAATAATGCGTGCTTTCGTTTTGGTCAATATTTCCATTAAAACATCAAATATATCTAAAACTCGCATTCAATTAATAATACGCATTTTACTGCAAATTCCATCCTTTGTCCATTTTTCTACTACCTTCTACCACTATTTTCAGAAAGGGCGATGATATTCTTCCCCTTTCTCCCTACTTCCAAAATAAAAATCTGGATAACGGAGTGTCAAATATGAGCTGTCACAATTTACATAACCTTGTATTATTGAATAATGGAGCGCTCCAATAGAACGAATGGAGCGCTTCTGGCCCCGTTGGGAATATATCATGATGCAAAAATTTTAAGGTAAAACCGCTGAGAGGCAGCCTGAACATTTTTGAAGTTCGCTAACATAACAAAAATGTTTTCAAATTTTCAATCTCACAAATCCATTCTCACTTTCAGTCTCAAATAAAAGAAAATTTGAATATTTTCATCTATTTGTTTTTAGTTGTACTTTTATTTGGCATTTGAGTCGCTCTGAAAATTTCAATTTTATAAAGTAGACAAACTTCAAAAAATAAATGATGGCCGACGAATTTAGCGAGCGGTTTTACCATGATAAAAACATTACAAGGTAAATTCATTCTCTCAATTCGTCGGCCATGATTTTGTTCTGACGTTTGCCAACATTTCAAAATCATATAAATTTGAAAATAAAAAAATTAAATTGTTCACAATTGTTGTTGTTTGAGATTGAAAATGAGAATGTGTGTGTGAGTTTGAGTTTTGATTTTAAAATTATATTGTTGGCAAACGTCAGACTGCCTCTCAATGGTTTTACCTTGTTATGTTTTTATCATGGGTTTTACCTTTAAATATTTGTATCATGGGAGTATATGTGAAAAATACATTCAAGCGAATTTGACGCATCCTCAGTAGCACTTGAAATTAAATTTGAAGGGGCTCATTTTACTCTGGGGTGGTTATGCCCCTTTGTTGACGATGTTTACTTATACAAACTGAAACTGGAAATTAAAAAGCCGATTTGAAAAATTTTTAAATGACTAGCAATTTATCATTTTAGAATGTCATGCCAAACATATATGTATCTCCATTTTTCACTAAGTAAAAAAGGAATAAATAACTATATTGACTGACTGATATAATATTCGCAATCTTCATTTGAAATTTTTTCTGCTAATTTTTTTATCTGAAAAAAACTATATAAATCTCAATTCCAAACTTTGTGCAAAAATTAAAAAAACCAACAAAGTTTCATCAGAGTTGCAAGCTTTTTAGTTAAAATTTCTGGAAATTATCCACGTACCAAAATACGCATGTAAAACTACTTTATTTAATTAATCTCTTCCTTTTTCACAAAAAAAGCGTCAGTGCGAGATTTCTATAAATTAATTTATTATAAAATTCAAGAAATTAAATGTAAACTAAATATTCCCTGTAATTTTCTTTAACGTTCCGCCACTGCGATTTGTTTTGAATTCAAATGTCATTTTTTATATACGATTACTCGGTTTTCCTTTTCTTTTTTTATACATATGTAATGTAATGTTTGCTGACTGCACTTGTAGATACTGTCAGTATAGAAGCATTCCCTGCAAGAACAGTGACCATCATTTGACAAATCATTTGACTGGCAAGGCTGATAGAGATTTCTGTCACTGGCTACCTACAAGTTTCTATCACATTCTAAAGGGCAGTGTGAAAAATCTGATGTAAACATTTGTGTACATATGATCTTCCGTCTTCCTCCAACTTATGGCCTTATATATTGGTCTCTTTTTAACCAACGCAAAATTTGCAAATGTGTTAGTAAGATAAATGAGAATGTGTTAGTTTCCATCACACAATTCTTGTAGGGATTACATACATATACAGGGTGTCCCAGAAGTAACGTGCCAAACTTTAGGGGAAGGTAGGTGGGGGGTAAGCTCCTTGATAAACAAAAAATTTTCAGGTAAAAGTGTCACCGTTTTTGAAATATTTACTTTTTTTATTTAAAAACAAAATCTTGCCTTTTCGTGTATTTTCTTTAACTGCATCTACAAACCAGGCTATGCTTAGTAAATTTTGTATGTAAAATACTTCCAGATAGTTGCTTCTCCATACTCAAATGCAATGTAGTTAAAATATATTAAGGAACCATCATAAAATTAGAACTATTTTTTGGATTTTTAATTTTTGATATTTTCTTCACCAACTTTGACTATCTCTGGTGAAAAAAATGTACTGAGCTCATATATGTAATACTCCTATATTGGCAGTAAGAGCTAGTACCGTCCGAAAACACTACAGTACAGACATATCAATAAACACGTACGAAAGAAAAGGACCACATACGTTTATAAATAAACATGTACACAACACATATACAAAAACGGCACTCAAGTACAGAATACATTGACAAAAACGGTACTAGACTGTCTCGCTTTGATTTCGGAATGCTTACGTATTGAGAAGTTAGCTTACTGCCAATATAGAAGTATTACATATATGACTGAGCTATAACTTTACATTACATAAAAAATTGCTATTTTAATAAAGATTTCAGAAAGGTGCCACAATTACTGTTTCGAATAGAAAAAAAGTTTTAGCCGCATTTGTGGGTAAAGGACTGAGACACGCTAGAATGTATTTAATAGATTTAAATTAAAGTTGCTTTTGTTACCGACCAATGACATGCTAAATAGTACAAAGGTACATTTTTACCTGCTCCTGACATTATTTTATGTTACTTACCGGAATAAGTGAAAGTGGATTTTGTGAAATTGGACCCTTCGAACATTGTGTTATTAATACTATGACAGAGAACACGCCAGACCTGAATCCATTATATTTTTTCTACTGGGGCTGTCTTAAAGACAAAACTTATTCAAAAACAATTCAAAACGAAGAGCATTTGCGTTAACAAATAAATGGAGCTGCTGCTTAGATAGCCCAATTGAGTTTAAGATCTCTAAAAGCGTATTTTCTTAAAAGGTGCAGAGCTTGTATTAAAGTAGAAGGTCGCCAATTTGAGCATATTTTATCAATAAATGAATAAATTTTATTTTTCTTCAAACAACTCATGTATATTTTATTTCACGTGAACCCATCCTTCACAAAAAATATTGAATATAATAATATAATAATATTGAATTCCGGTAAGTAACATAAAATAATGTCAGGAGCAGGTAATAATGTACCTTTGTACTATTTAGCATGTCATTGGTCGGTAACAAGAGCAACTTAAATGTAAATCTATTAAATACATTCTAGCGTGTCTCAGTCCTTTACCCACAAAAGCGGCTATAACTTTTTTTTATAAGCTTATATTTAACTTGGTCATCCCGCGCAAA